CTTCAAAGCAAGGTGAGGAGTAGGGAGAGATAGAGATGCTTCACTAGGCAGGGAAGTAAGAATTAGGGGTTAGAAAGTTTTAGGCAGAACTCTCTTGACTCATTGCATTGGCAAAACCATGCAGACCCTTACCACAGGCGCACAAAGAGATACCTATCTGTATGGCCCCTTCTCACGTCACACACACCCCCTCTCCCTCTCCCGAGTGCTTGCCCTTTCTGTTGTTTCTGGTGGACAGAATCCAGAGCTCCGAGACGAGCTGCCTCTCCATCGGCTCAATGATCCACTGGGCTGGGCCCCCTTCCCTACCAATCCTCAGCTCCCCACATCATTCTCCCTTAGTTCCCCCCAAACCCAATCTCCCCCAGCTTTCCCAGGGTCTCAAATCTATTCCTAGTGAAAGGACCGGAACCAGACGTGCCCCTGATCTCCTGGGACTTGGATACAGGTGCACTACTCAGGGAGGGGCCCCCTGGAGGGCAGAGACATCACAGGAAAAGTGGAAGGGTCATCTGGGCCACGCTACCCACCCCCCACCGCCCCGCCACTGTAAGACGCCTATTGGGAACCTGGGAAGTGCAGGCTGTTCCCGGGTCCCTCCCAACGCCCCTGCCTACCCCCTTCCACCCTGACAGGCTGCAGGAGAGCTTCTGGGCTTGGGGGCCTGAAGACTCAGCTTGTCCTCAGTCCAGTCCCGACCTCCTGAAGGATGGGCGAGGTCGGGTGGGCCTCTCAGGTGCTGGATACAAGCGGTCAGTGGCAATGGCGCTTACCCCCAGAGCTGAGCCACAGCAGCAAGTGAAGCAGGCCTTCCATCACCCCGCCCGCCCAGGCCAGCCAGGTGCGGGCAAGGACTCCGCAGCAGCTGTGCTGGACTGTCAGACAGCCTGAGGCTTATAGGAGTGTCCAGCCGCCCCAAGGCCCCTCAGGGTCCTAGAGCCCGCCCTAGCCACACCCCGTCTCAGACCCGTGGCCAGAGCAGCTCAGGAACCAGGGAAGTGGAGGGTGCCTCTGCACCAGGGTCCTGCGTATGCCTCTAGTCAAGTCCTTACAGGAAATCTTTTGACCAAAAATCACGTTGGACTGGCCACTGGGTCTTTGGATTATTGGGTTAAGAATGGGGAGAGGCCAAACAGCAGCTCATAACGCCCTGGGTTTTTGTGCCCCAGTTACATGGATGCCCTAGGGAGCTAAGGGAGGAAATTCGTATGCAGAGTAATCGGACAACAGAGTCTGTCCTTTCCCTGCCACATTGATAGAGAGTTGTAAGGTGTGATGTGCGGTGCAGTTTTATCAGACATTGCCTGGGAGAGATGGAGTAGTGGAGATTTGTATGTCCACTGAGGTGTAATTTTTTTTTAACTTTCTGACTATTCTATCCAGTCTCTGGATTAAGGGTTAATGGGCCCAGAAACTAACATTGCATACTATACCTTCTTACATACCCACATCCCTACACACCCACGCCATAAACCCCTTTACTCACATTTCATGTACAAGGATTTGCTCCCTGGTGGGGGCACTAGATTAGGCAGTCAAACGACCTGAGTTCTAGTTTCTCCTGGTATGAGTTTGGGCAAATTCTTACTCTCTCTGAGTCATGTTTCCTCCACTGTAAAGTGGGGATACTACCCGCCTTGCTTATTTTTCAAGCTTATATGTCTGAAAGTTTTGTAAGTAAGACACAAATGTAAGACATGAAGTGGGATAATGCATAGAATGCTGGACTTGGAAGACTTGAGTTCAAATCCTGTCTCAGAAACTTATTAGCTACATGACTCTAAGAAGCAAGTCACATAACCTCTCTCAGCCTCAGCTTCCTCATCTGTAATGGCATAATAGATAATAATAGTACCTCCCTCACAGAGGTGTCCTGAGAATCAAATGATATGACACATGTAAAGTGCTTTGCAAACCTTAAAGCACTATAAAAATGCCATTAGCAATTAGGTAATTACTATTGTTGTTGTATTGCATCCCAAATTGTTATTGTAAACTCTTACAGGGCAAGGATTGTTGGGTGCACTTAACCTTAGAAAGTAAAAATATTCAGATAATATAGACCTTGTCACTGTTTACAAAGTGTGGGGAGAACTAATTTGATTGAACAGGAAGGGCAGCTAGCCATTGGCTGGGTAGAGATTGGCCATATCCCTGGAAGACTTTAAAAAGCCAACACTGAACCATATTAAAAAAAAATGTTTCAAATCACTATTAGAGAAACGAATATTTTAAGGAAATTCTGAGATTCCACCTTACACCCATCAGATTGGCAAAATTAACTAAAAAAAGAAAGAAATGACAAATTTTGAATGGGCTTTGGAAAAGAAACACATAAATGTACGGTTGGTGTCAAAATGGCACAGGCCATTCTGGAAAGCAATTTGGAAGTAGGTCCAGAAAGTTACCAAGCTCTCTGTATGCTCTTTTACCTAGTGATACCATTATTAGGCTTATGCCCAAAGAGACCAAGGAAAGAAGCAAAGGATTCATATGTACACAGGGACAGCTCTTTTTATAGTGGCAAAAAATTGGAAGTTAAAGGTGTGCTCATTATTTGGGGAATGGATGAACAAATTATGATATTTGAATATAATGAAAGACCATTATGTCATAATAAAAGATAAAAGGGATGGTTTCAGAGAAACCGGGGAGGATTTGTATGAATGGATACAGAGTGAAATAAACAAAACCAGGAAAACAATTTATACAATAACAACAGATGTAAAGACAAACATCTTTGCAAGACTTGAAAACTCTGATGGATGCATTGCCTGGCCATTATTCCAGGAAATGGATTCAAATTGCAGAATGACATGTACTTTTGGACAGAGCCAATGTAGGAATTAGTTTTGCTTTTTCTATGTGTGTTACAAGGGTTTTACTTTTTTTCTTAAAGGGGAGGAGAGAAAAATAAATGCTTCCTAATAGGAAAAATAAAAAATAAAATCATTTTTTAAAAAAGACTAAGTCGGCCGAGACCTGAGGACAGTTTGATTTAGTATGTAAGTTCTTGGAGGCAGGGAGCAGCTTTGGAATATACCTCTGAGCTCCTACCAGAGGTAAGTCAGGGATTTTTTTCCCCTCCCCCAAACCCATCATCATCCACGTCATCTAGTGTTGGGGCTACTTAATCAAAAGGGGCCACTCAAGGAAGAAGCAGTTGAGAGAGTTCAGTGGTTCAAGGTAGAAAACAGAAATTCATATGCTCCAGATAATCATAGACAGAGAGGCACATTCAAAACAAGAATTAGCTTCAAAAAGCGTGACCTCTGAGAGCAGAGAGCCGATGGGATTCAATCAAGAACTATCCCTGGTAGTTGAGAGTAAAGCTTTGGAAGGCAGCAGACCTAGGGATCCTGGTTGAACATCTTAACTCAGCAGAGATGCCGTGCCTTGGATGAAGCAGGACTCCATGAAGAAAAATGACATTAGGGCTCTGCAGTGCCAGAGGACATCAGATGCCCTGGTCATATGGGTCCTGATGGTGGTGCCTCAGGACCAGCATACTCTAAATTTGTTCCCCTTTTTTCCAGTGACGTGTGTATATGTGGGAGATTATCCCCTAGGCTCATGGGGGTGGGGTGGGAAGATATTCTGTAGCTATAGCTCTTATTTTGCTTTGGGCTCTATTGGCTATTAAACTCATCAGATGGGTCTTTTGAACTGTAGTTTTGGTAGACCTAGACCCTTCCCCAACCCTAAGAATCTGTGAGTGGTGGTTACAAGCTGAAGACCCAGTCTGCAAATTTGAGAGTACTGAATTTGAGAGGTAGCCCAGAGACACTTGAAAGAATGGGTCAATTGTGACTCCCTTACAGTTCCAGGCACTCATACCAAAATATTCCTCTTATGTATGTTGTCTCCCCCTATTAGAAAGAGAATGGAAGCTCCTTTAGGGCAGGGAAGCCTTTTTGTGTTCATATCTCCAGAACTTACCTTGGCATACAGTAATTAATATTCTCATATATTTATTCATTCATTCTAATTTTTTTTGTGCCTCAAAGCAATCATTTGATAAATACTAGTGTTACAGGTATTATCCTCCTTTTACACACAAGAGAAATGAGACTTAGATAGATTAATAGACCTGGTAGTTTCTTGGAGGAAGGAGACAAGCATTTATTGTCTGTTGTGTCAGGTGCGGTGCTAAGCACTTTACAAATCTTATCTCACTTGATCCTCACAACCCCACCTCAGTTGTGGGAAGTAGGTGCTATTATTACTCTCATTTTACAGTTGAGGAAACTGAGGCAGAGGTTAAGTGATTTGCCTAGGGTTACACAGCTAGAAAGTGTCTGAGGCTAGGTTTGAACTCAGGTCTTCCAGGCCTGATGCTCTATCAACTGCAAGTATATATACTGCTAGCATTAGAACAACCCAAGTCTGCCGTCTGTTTGACTATAAGCCCAACACTCCATCTACTTATGTGCTCAGAATCTTAGTTCAATGAAGACTGCATGGTGGTGTGGCTGGAGTTGGTCATGGAGAGACAAGACTTGGGGTCAAGTCCTCCCTCAGATTACACTAGCTAGGTGGCCACGGGCAAGTTACTCGGGTACCTCTGTAAGCCTAGAAGTTACTATAGAGAAAGGAATTGCCTACCAGGGGTGCCTACCAGCCTTGAGACCACTGCTAGGTCCTCGGGTGCGGCCTTTTGATTGAGTCCAAGTTTTACAGTACAAATCCTTTTATTAAGGGGATTTGTTCTGTGAAGTTTGGATTCACGCAAAAGGCCACACTTGAGGACCTAGAGGGCCACGTATGGCCTTGAGGCTGCAGGTTCCCCACCCCTGGCCCTACACTGATGAAATTAAACAACCCTTCCACCACCAAAACCCCCTTAAAGGACTTAAAAATTTCTTAAACAGGGTGATTTGGGGCACCTTGCCCAAAGGCACAGGAGGGATGGGATGGGCGTGTTGTTCTTGTATACGTGCCCAGGAAAAGGAATGTGTGCTGTTCAGTGCTCTAATATTATCACAGCTGTACAAGAGGTCTTTGCTTTATACAGTATTTATTGTTTTTGTTAACAAACCATTGGGTGTCTTGAGCCTTGATTTTATACGACAGAAAGTTCAAAGTTCAAATGGAAACCGAAGGAAGGATATGAAAAACCTGAGAACACTGATTGTCTCTATCTGAACGTGCAGATGGTGTGCTATCTCCCATTACTCCCTCTGAACCAATTTCCTTCCCTCCACTCCCAATCTCTGGATTAGAGGTTGATGGACACTGACACTGACTAACTGTTACTAAGGAGGCTGTTGATGACTCCAGCTGGGCTGCTGAGTCAGCTCATTTCAGGTAGGCCTGGGAAAAAGACCCAGAAGCAGTGATTTACACCTAAGAAGGCACTCTCGGTGCTCATCACAGCCACCACTGATCAGGACTGGCTTCCAATCCTGAGGGTGGGCTTATAGGGGCAATCAGCCTGCCACATGTTCTCGCTCTCCTCATTCCAGATGTGGCCCAAGTAACCCCTTATCTTACCTCCTGAGCAGTCCTTAACCTTCACTTGCATGGTTCCTAATGCATCCCAAATGCTGAGAAGCACAACTTACCCCTTATTGCTCATTACAACCTCCCACCACTTGCTTTTACTCATCCTTTGACCACCTTCCTAGGAACAAACACATCCGGCTAAGGTATCCACTTGGAAAAGACGTGGATGGAGATGGGCAACAACAGGAAATCTAAAACAGAGGTGTGGACAGGGCTGTCCCCAAACCCAGAGCCGACAGGACTTCTTTATCAATCAGAGAATGCAGGGCCAGAGATGCGCCTGTCCAAGCACAGGCTCATCCGGCTGTGGCGGACTGAGCTGAGCGATCTGCAGCCATCCCTAACTCTGAAATGATGCTGCACACATCACAGGCACCAACAATCACCATAAGAGGAAGTCACATGGCCAGAAGAGTATAAAAGAAGAGACTATTTATTTCAGTGCATACCCATAGTCACTGAACTATCAGACTGTGGTCTTAGAGGAGGTATAATGTGGCCGGCCTAGCCCTCACGGCTGCCCCAAGGCAGGGAATGCAGCTCAGTCATCCTCAGAGGAAAGGATGTCTGAGACCCAAGGCCGTGGAAGGGAGTTAAGTGCATCGGTCCATCAGGCTCCCAGCAGGGCCGGAGAGAGGCCTCCTGCTCTTGTTTCTGTAGGACAAGTTTTTCCGTTGGACTGACTTTTGGAGATGACCCCATCTCTCTAGGACATCGAGGACATCTGTACACACTTAGGAGAGTGAATCCCTCTTTGGGTCTGCAGGAGAGCATGGTCATCTGTCCATTTGCAGGCTGTGGCACTAAGACCCTGGCACCCCGTCCTTGAGTAGTCCACTGGTTACATCCTGAAGGCGGTTATGTCGCAAAGGAGGCAACTGAGAGTACAGCTCAAAGCCCTCAGTCACGGCCACATTGGGAAGCTTGTAGTAGAGAAGGTGCTGCTTGAGACACTGAGGAAAATGACAGAGACAGCCCCGTGAGCAGGAGGACACCACTCCCCTCCTGCCCGCTGCCTCCTAAAACCCTGCTTTCCCTCTGGGATGCTTCCTGGTTCTTTTGCCCCCACCTCTGCCTCACCCACCTCATTGGCCAGCAGCCACGTCTTCTGGAGCATCCACTTGCTGGCGGCTATCGCCACATCCTAGAAGAATGAAGATGCAGACAGAGCTGTGGAGGACCCCATCAGGACGCAGGAAGGGACATCTCCTCCCACCACCACCAAATACCAAATCCTTCTTCACCACCCAGCACTGCTCTTCCCCTCTGGAGCTGCACCCAATGCCTTCCTCAAAGGATCTGGACACTAAGTCATGGATGGCTGAGTCATCAGTTCCTTCCCCATCCTAACACCCTACTGAAATGAGGGCATAACCTACTGAGCTCTTTGGGTCCTGGGAGAAGATGAAGCTGTTGACGTGGGCCACAGCCACCGCATAGAGTACAGGACACCAGTGTGGGCATAGAGTCCCCATCACCAGGGCTTGGAAATAAAGTTTCAGGAGCTCCAGGTTGTCTTCTGGGGGTGCTGTATAGTTTTCCAGGGACACAGGCAACTGTAAGGGATAAAGAAAGCACTTGGCAACGAAGTTCTCTCTACGCAGCTGACCCCAATTCCCTCTCCTCTTCTGAAGGGAAGCACTTCAGGACCAGGGGCAAGTACTCAAAGCCAGGAAGGGAACTATACCTCTGACAAGAAAGCTAACAGCCACATGATACCCCATCCACAGGGACTCGGGCTCTGACATGGATGGAGAATGTGGCTGGAGTTGGTGCTGCCTTACAGAGCCTGAACAGGTAGTCCTAAGGGATGCAGTTATCAACTCCTTCTGTACGCCCCTGGCACAACACTCTTCCCAAAAGAAATACTCCCACACTCAGGAACGCACAGGTGGCTCCCTTGCTGCCTACAGGAGGGAGCAACTCAATCCAAGGCCCTTCCGAACCCAGCCCCCATTCCTTATTGTTCCCCAACCTTGGAACTTAGTTCTGATCCTCAAGACCCAGATCAAGCCCTAGGCAAGGTTTCCCCAAAGTCTTGGTGTAGTTTTGTTTCTGTTTTAAAGCTTTAGTAGCTTATGTCTGCACCAAGACCTTTGGGACACTCTGTATGACCCCTTCCTTGCCTACTGCAGCTTCCACTCATCTCTCTTACTCTGCAATCCCACAGCACTGACAGTCAGAACCATGTAATTCAGCGGCCCTGGATCATACAATGTATTCTATTGGCCTTCTGTCACATACTGTGTTCAGGTCTACTCTAAGCTCCTCAAGGGCAGGACTGCGCGTTTTGTGCTTCTTGGGACCTACAATGTTCCAAAGGGCTCAAACATGAGAGGAGCTCAACCACTGCTGGTGATTGGTCAGCTGATTACCTGGGCAAGGGGCAATCCAAGGGCTCGAAGGGCTCCCACGTGCTCCCCAAAAAGGGAAAGGCGTAAGGTGACACTGTATCGGCGCTGCAAGGGGAGCAGAACCAGCGTGCCAAAGAGAGAGTCCCCAAAGGAGACGGCTTCAAAATGCTCGAGGAAGCTGGTATAGAGGTCCGGGAAGGAGGCCAGGCCAGGCAAGGGACAGTCCAGCTTTAGGAGAGACAGTGCCCGGGGCTGGCAAAGCCGGGCAAGCAGGGCCGTGATGTAGCGCTGGATGGGGGCCTCACGGAACAGATCACTGTCCATCAGGAATACACACATGAGCCTTGCCAGGCGGGCAGCAGGAGGTACCACCTGGAGGCTGGAAGGGCGCCAGCTCTCCAGGACCAGCACCCACTGCAGGGCATGGATGGCTGTGCCCAAGGAGCTGGGGGGTAGGGCCTTAGAGACAGGGCCAGACGCCTGGTGGTAGAGGTGAATGAGAGGGAGGAAGGGCCAGTCCGCAGGCAGCAGTGGCCCCTTTGGCACAGGAAGTAGCAACGAAGGAATACGAAGGTGTTCTCCCTGGTACAGGGCTTGGGAATGCAGTAGGGCAGGGCAGGGCAGCATGCAATGTGCCAGGTAGCATCCCCGAATGCCTGGGAGGTCCCGACATGCTTCTGCCAGCAGGGCCCCTCGTCCTGATCCAGGCCTCCTGATGCTGCCCAGGTTTAGCTTGTCAGAAAAGTCAGCTGCCTCGGGCCCTCCTGAAGCTCTTTCCCTGCAGCACGATGAAACAAGGAGAGAAGATCAGAGTAGCCACCACCTCTATCAGCGAACAGCCCCCACCATCCCTGAGATAAAACCCAAAGAGGAACAGCTTCCTCAAGGCTCCCCAACTCCATCCCCAGTCATGCTCCTCTTCACCACGCCCCAGACTTACGGGAGAAATTCTGGCTGGAAGACAGAGCCCAACAACAGCTCATGGGCCAGGTACTCACTGCCTGGCAGCAGGCGACTCACAAGTGTCAGTGCCACAGTGTGATAGAGGACGGCGTCTGGGGTTGGATCTGTCCTGAGTCCAGCCTGCAGAGCAGAGGACACAAGAAAAGAGATGGCTGGGTAGTAACAGCAGAAGTAGAGGGGGCAAGGCTGATACAAACTTGGGGGTTTGGTTTCATACTGGAGAGAGGACAGGGAAAGGGTCTGATTGTACTGGAGCAAGGTAGAGAGAAGGATTCTGATAGGGCTGAGGAAGGGGAAAGCTAGCAAGAGGAACCAATGTAAACAGCAAAGTAGGTAGAGGTAGCAGGAAGGTTAAAATCATAGGTGAGATGAAGGTAAGAAAGGAGAAAGAACAAGGGGGAAAAAAACCTAGACCTACCGTTCTCTGTGCCAGGGTGAGCACCAGGTATTGGAGGTGGTATTCATGTCTCAGAGCCCATGCCAAGAATGGAGTGAGTCGGGAGGCACGAGAGGGTGCTCCACAATGAAGCAGGTAATCTTGGAGGCCTGGGGCAGCCAACACCAAAGCAAGCTGCGGAGGGAATGTGTTCAACCTCTGGGACCCAGCTGCTATGCTTCCCAAGGCTTCCTGCTATGCACCACTCCCTTCCGTCTAATCCCAAGAGACAGCAAGACAGAATGAAAATCTGTCTTACTTGCCCACTTGCCCTCTTCTTTTTCCCTCACTATCATCTACTGAGCTTGAGATCTAAAACCCCATCCAGAAAGCTCATTGTCCAAGGACTTACCTGGCCACAGAGCCCCTTGTGAATTCGGGCCAGGGTGTTGAGAAGAGAGAGAAGGGATGTGAGGAAAGCGAAGGCTGAAGATGATCCAGCCAGACTGAGTGGGGGACAGTCTCCCCCACAACCCAGGGAGACAAGGTTCGGGATGGACTCTGGAGCTGGGGCACAGGACAGCGGATTGCAGAGCGGGGAGCAGTGCCTGCCAAGAGCAGAACAAAGACCAAAATCAGACTCCATCAAAGCACTCCAAATGATGGTTGTCCCCGCAAGTTCTATCTGGACCTACTCCTCTCTCTCTCGTCTCTCCTCTGGTGACCTATCAGCTTCCATATGCACATGACTCTCAATTCTATATCCTCAGCCTAAATACTCTCCTGAACTCCAGTCTAGGATAACCAAATGCTTGTTGGACATGCCCTGTAGACATGCTGCAGGCATCTCAAAACTTTCCAGGTCTGCAATGAAACGGATTCATCTTCATCCTCCCAAGGACACCCTCCCGCAGAGTTCCCTTTTTCTGTGGAGCCCACCACCAATCTCTCAGGTACTTCCCAATCTGTGATTCATTCTTAATTGTCCTCTCTCTCACATCCCACACTGAACCTGTTACCAAGATGTGCTCATGCTACCTTTGTAGCTTCCCTTACATTCACCCCCTCTTCACGCACACTTCCCCTCACCACCTGTCACCCAGACAATTATTGCAACAGCTTCCCAACTCTTCTTTCTGATTCCAGTTTCTCCCCGTTCTAATGCATCCTTCATACAACTACCCAAAAAGCCTTCCTCAGGCCCAGATATGACCACGTTACTCTCCTGATCCAGAAATCCTCAGCAGTCCCCAATGCTTCTCCCAAAAGGCTTTTAAAGGCCTTTCCCAGGCTAGCCACTAACTATCTTACTAACCAATTTCACATTATTCCCGTTTCACAATACTCTCTATATTAAAAGTAACCTGAACTACAGTATGTCCCCCAAACTAGACAGTCTTTCTCCTGCCCACGTTTCTGTCTAAGCTTTGTCCCTCATACTTCAAAAGTACCTTCTCCTCCCCATCTCTGCTTTCACAATCCTTCTCTTCCAGGCTCTGCTCAGATGCCACCTTTATACAATCCTTCCCCCGCCCAAATGTTAATATTCTCTTCTCCTTCTTCTAATGACCTTTTCTCTACTTATCCATATACCTATCCCACTCCTCCAGTAGAATGTAAGTGCTTTGAGAGCAGAGACTCATATGTTTTTGGTGTTGTATTCCCAGCACCTAGCATGGTACCTTGGTGCTTAATAACTAAATATGTGTACAAATGCACTGAATTGAAAAAAAGGCAGGGAAGAGATAAGAAAGGGTTTGGTTTTGTTTTTCCTGGCATCTTCCCTTGAGAAGGGATGGATCTGGGACCAAGGCTGAAGCAGGAGCTTTTGTGAAGGAAGGCCATTTCTTCTTGGACTCGTGGCTAAGATCTACTAGGGGGTCATGTGGGCTCTGCTGAGACACACAAGGGCCTAAAATCTAGGCCTGCCCCCCAAAGCACACCCAGCTCCCTAGAGTAGGAACTCTTCAGGCAGTGTCTGGGGGCATAGTGAATATGTAGCCATGTTCCATATGTCTCTGCTCAGACTTCTTCCCAGAAGGTCTCAGCACTCCTAGCTGTCCTCAAAGGCAGGACAAGTGAGACAGGTGAAAGATACCACACAGGAGATAGGGCCTTGCTTCAGATAATTATACCTGAGTGAATCCCACAGGCCCTGAAAGGTAGGCTGACACAGCAGGGGCAATACCAACTCCTTTGAAAGCCGCTCCACATCCTGAAGACATTCCCCAGGGCACAGCTTTGGCTGGAAGGAACCAAGAGATACTAAAATTAGCTGAATAGAGAGGAAATCATCAACCCTGCTGGAAAGGCTGGTGTCCAAAGTTCCTTCTTCATCCTCAGTTCTACACCCTCAGCCTCCCTGGGTTGGTTGGTTGGTTGGTTGAAGAGGACAGGAATCAACCCTAGTCTACCAACAGAACAAAATAAAGTAGGGAGGAGTTCCAGGCTTTTCATCCTGAGAATGAAATATCCAGGGGCCTCTCTTGGCCCCAGGCCCCAAACATTCATAGAGTCTGAGAGAGCCAAACAGTTAGGAAATTGAGAAGATGACCCTGGTCTTCCAGGCATACCCAGCATGCTCCTTTAAAGTTCATTTGGCATAGGGGAGACAGAAGGAGGTAAGAGGGGGAAAAAAGGGGAACTACTCACAGGTGGAACACGGAGTTCAGCACAAGTAGGGGCTCACCTGCTGACTCCAGGCCTGATAGTGGGCTGCTAGGTACAGCAGGCAGGCAATGGGCAGAGGGGCCAGGGCCCTCCAAGTGTCAGGCTGGGGAAGTTCCTTCAGGACTTGTCGAAGAATTGGTTCTATGAGAGGACGGAGTCCAGATACTTGCACCCAAGTGACTGAGGGAGAGACAGGCGACAGGCTGGACTCAGCAGGGTTACTGTAAGGACAAAAGGAATAGGTGGGAAGTGAGGGTTCACAGTTCCTTCTTCTTCATCTCTACTCAAGTGCTCCAGGAATCTAGAAGCATTGGAGGGAAGCAGGTTCAGGGTGCAGGCAATGCACTGTAGACGGCACAGGGTCACAGGACCCACCCCCGGAGCAGGCTCATAGGTGCAGACTCACTTGCTGGCTGGGGCACAGAGCTCTGTGTTGCTGCTGCTTGATGCCTGGGTCAAGCAGGTGAGCAAGGTGATGAAAGCTGAGATTCGATGCATGGCCAGCTGGCTGTGGGGCCGGATGCTCAACTCCTGGGGTAGGGCCCGGAGGGCCCGAATCAGCACTGGGTAGAGTTCTCTGGTAAAGAAAGAATGGGAGAAGACACCATCCAATATTTATCTTTTTCTTTTTTTCGGCTAGGCAATGGGGTTAAGTGACTCGCCCAGGGTCATACAGCTAGTAAGCGTTATGTGTCTGAGGCCGCATTTGAACTCAGGTTCTCCTGAATCCAGGACCAGTGCTCTACCCACTGTGCCACCTAGCTGCCCCCCAATATTTATCAAATGCCTATTGTGTGAAGGGCTGTGTGTTTAGTTGTGGAAATACGAACTGGCAAAAGACCCAACATTTGCTATCCAGCTGGAAGGAAATGTACAGACTAAGCAGCAAGTGAGTGGTACAGAATAAGCTCTGCCGAGATTCGAGGGAGGGAAGGAGGGGCAGGAAGGAAGACTTCAGGAAGGAGGTGAGTCTTAACGTGGCCCTGAGGAAGGGCAAGAATTAACTGACTAGAAGAGAGAGCACAACAGGCACGGGGACCACACTCCTCAGGCTACACCTCTCCTTTTCTGTGACTTCTTTCCCAAGGCTTCCCTTCAACTCGACTTGACAAACATGTACTCAGCATTGACTACATGCAAAAAACAAAAAGGCATCATGCCTTCATGCTGGGATATTGCACCCACAGGCCGTGTGCAGGGGTGGCCCCAGGGCAGGATCCCCAGAGTGCAGAGTGCACTGGTTTTGGAGTCAGGAGACCTGGTCCAAATGCTGGCTCTCCTGGGGGACCTAGAGGAAGTCATTTCACTTCTCTGGGACTCCCTTTCCTCACCTGCAAAAGGGGGACAAACCAACAATGATAGGTAGCTAGCGTTTGGAGAGAGGGCTTTAAGGTGCACTAAGCACTTTACAAAGATTATCTCTTGATCCTCACAACAGTCCTGCAAGGTAGCTATTATCCCCATTTTACAGGTGGGGCAACTAAGTCAAAAGGAGGTGAAGTGACTTGCCTATGGTCCCACAGCCAGTAGGTGTCTAAGGCTGGTTTTTAACTCAAGCGTTCCTATCCACTGCACTACCTAGCCAATGTCTACTGTCTTTTCAGGCTCTAATTTCCATGATCCCCGCCATACATATGTAAATAGCTTTCCCAAATCTCACTCACACCCTCTAGATAATACCTGAGTATGACACAGACAGAGAAACTGGCTGGGGTCCCTAATATTCACACCAGACCTGTATGGCAGCAGCCAAAGATGATGTTCTCTGCCTGAAGCAGAATGTTTCTCACCTGTAAAGGTCTCCACCCTGGCCATAGGCAGCGGCTACTGCCCAGAGCCTAAAGGACTCAGTGTTCAGTTGCTCAGCCTCCTGGATGGGCATGGCCAATTCCTGGGGGGCCTCAGACACAAAGCGACACAGGCGACTTCGAAGATCAAAACCACTCATCTATGAAACAGCACCCAGAGGCAGATCAGAACTCCAATTCTTCCTTATCTCTGGATAACACACCCCTTGTACTCAGAGGGAATGCGACATTTGTGGTTCAAATAGGGCAAGAAGCTTGATTTCCATAGGAGAGCCTTGACTTTTCCTTTCTCCACTCTGGTGTGACATTTTAGGTGCAAGGGGCAAAGATTAATTCATTCATTCACATTTTTAGGGCTATATATGCACTATAGGGGCTATATAAGCACTATATATGGGGAGCATAAAGATCTATGCAAAGAAGTCCAGTAGCAAGGGAAGGGTATTTGCAGGACTTGATCTGGACAAAAGTTTTTAGCTCCAGGTGGGAGATAAGTATATATTTATATGTGCCTGACTTGACACCAAAGAACTGAAAACAAAATAGATGACTATCAGTAGGAAGATGGCTAAACAAACTGTGGTACATGAATGTTAGTGCTGCAAGAAATGATGTGTGTAATGAATACAGAGATGCACAGAAAGATCTGCATAAACTAATGAAGAGTGAAGTAAGCAGAGGCCAAGAAAACAATACACACAGTAACTACAATGTAAATGGAAAGAACACACCAAAAAATCAAAAGTGAACATAACAAAATTATAGAGATTAAGCAGGATTTGAAGAGACAGGAGAGGACAATCCCAAACAGGTCCACAGGTGTTAGACATTGCACCTTTTGGACCTTTTTCAATGTATTAATCAATTGCACTGATAAAAAAAATATCTGTCATATGGGATGGCTTCTGGGAGGAGGAGGAGGAGGAGGAAGGATACTGGGGATAACTCTGATGACTTTTCAGTCAACAAATGACATCAATAAAAACTTATTTAAAAAAATAAGAAGTGCCTGCTCCCTTCTGGTCTAGGGCTCTATAAGCCCACAAGGTAACCACCAGAAACAGCACCAATGGTCTTCCCATGAGTGGCCTCTTACATCTAATGTAGTTAGACTGATGGGTGGGCCTGAGAAAAGCTTTTGAATCTGCTCAATACGGTTCCTACTCAGAGGACCTTTTCAAGTTTTACAGGAGGAAGAGAGTGTAGGATCTGGGCCCTGGTTTAAATGACAGGGACGACTCTTACATTTTAATTGTTACACTCAGATGGGCTTTCTCAATCCTGTTTTTTCGGTGACCCATTCTCTGCTGTCTACTCCCAGTTTTGGCCTTCATGCCTTGCTTACCAGGCGGGCAGAAATATTCCTTCCAGCTGATGCCAGGACACGGAGCAGTTTCATAGCAGCAGCACAGGGCACGCCATGTAGGCGAGAAATCGGTCCTTCTCCCACAGGTGACCAGCTTGAGGGCAAGAACTCTCGAACCAGGGTGTCTATCAGCCGAGGGCACTCCAGGACCTAGAGGAGGGAGGACCAAGGCACTGGGAATCAAGGTAAAGATTCTGATTACATTCCTCCTTCTATGCTCCCCCCCACCTCTGCTTTTCATTACCTTTGTGGCTGACTCTAGAGAGTGCCGTGCCACTCGGATCAGCACAGCAAGAATGTCCTGGACCACAGTGGGTGAAGGGTAGGTCACTTCAAGTAGATATCGAAGTCTAGGCAGCAGCTGAGTAGCCAGGAGACCCTTGGTGGGGTCAAAGGAGATCGAAATACTGACAAAAACAGTAACTCAAGGAAGCCACAGCTTCCTAACTGTTGGGGACATCCATTTCCTCCTCAGCCCTTTACTGATGCATGCACCCCTAGAGCCTTGGGTCTACTGTTTGCACAGACACCAATGTGGCCCCCAGTCATCCATACCTTGAGAACATCACGTCGGGCCAGGTCTGGTGGCGGCCGGGTCTCTTGGGGATTCTTCTTTTTTGCTTTTTCTACAGGGGTTTCTTCATCTTCCTCCTCCTCTTCTTCTTCTTGGCATGGCATCAAGGGAAATACAGCTGCTCCTTGATACCAGGAGAAGGTGCTGTCCAGGAGTTCCTGCCAGAAGAGGAAATGTCTGAAGATGAGAGCAGTCCTTCCAATCTGGCCTCCAGAGCAAGGCTACTGTCCTGTGCTTTCCAGGGACATCTGAACTCAATGACTACTGTGTACAGGACTACTCACAAAGAAAGGCAAGGACAAGGCAGGGAACATGGAAGGAGGCAAATCCATTATGGAAAGAGTTCTGTGCCACCGACATGATGGAGGGGCTCAACCCATCTCTTCAGCCCAAGGACCACGGAGAAGGGAACACTGATATATCCTTGCTACCCTCCACCTATATCTGACTATTTCTTTTGCATCTCCTCCAAGTAAGGAGGAAGTGTTTCTCTAACCAAAGGTTACCTCATCTCCAGGGGCCACCAATAGGGCCCGTAGTGCCCACACAGCAGCTGCAGTAACACTGTCCACACTGTCATCCAGTGAAAAACGCAGCAGGAAGAGGAAACCAGCATCCAATAGGAGGCGCAGGACACTGTCTGTCAGCCGACCCCCAAATTCACCTGCCTGGGCCTGGAAAAGGTTGGGAAGGAGAGGAGAATTCTCAGAGAGGACAAACCACCTCAACAGGTCTTCAGTCTTTCCATTCGGCACCCTGGGCCCTGCTCCCCTCATTTCTCATGCTACCTCAATGAAGGAATTTTTCTGAATTAGTGAGATAGGATAAGAAGAGGCAGGACATTAGGGAGAGAAAAGAACTGAGAGAGAGAGAGGAAGTAGCAGGGGGAGGGAGAGGAGGCTCACTCACTTTAGAGATGATTCGGGCCAACACCTGCAGAGCCAGTGCTCTCTGCTGGGAGATCTGGCTACGGGCCAGATGGAATATCTCTTGAAGGGAGTATCCTGCTCTCTGGGAGGAAATGAATTGATGAGACTGATGCTCGGGCCCAGCCTGGGGCTTCTTGGCATCCCTCGCTCCCTGATGGCAGAGAACCAGAGGGTGCTTTCCCCCACACTATCAATGTTAAAAACCCTTGGCAAGGCTCCCCCAGGCACACCACCAGCATAGTTCCCATGATTCCATATCCCTGGGCCCGGGCTTCACCTCTGCCTCCTCGCCGTGATGATGCAGGCCTAGATGAGTGGGCAGGTCAGCATCAGGGGCCAGCAGCTCTCCCTGGAGACTGAAACGTGCCTGCTGCATTCCCTGATCCAAAGAAAAAAAGAAGGTTGTGGCCCTAGGTACCAGCACCCTCCTCCACCTCCTCCTCCTGACACCTAATACACTGTAATCCTCCACCTTCATCCTCTCAGTAAGTTAGGGATCAAACTCCTCTTCCAAGCCAGGACAGTGGCAGAAGAGACAAGAAACTTATCTTATCTTTTTTTTTTTTGCTTTTTGGTGAGGCAATTGGGATTAAGTGACTTGCCCAAGGTCACACGGCTATTAAGTGTTAAGTGTCTTAGGCTGGATTTGAACTCAGGTCTCCCAGGCTCCAAGGTCAAAGCTCTATTCACTGCACCACCTAGCTGCCCCTAGTCTTACCTTCCTGAGAAATCTCTTGGACCCCCCTCCTCACCTCCTGGGTTTTCTGCCGCTGGAGTGGGGGCAGATCCTGAGTCCACTGAAGCTTTTCCAACTCCACAGTATCCATGTGAAGCCATTCCTTGTGAGGGGTCACCGGCAATTCTGGAGCTGGGGAGGAGCACAGGGTTAGATCATCTCTTTAGGGTATTAGGGGCCAGACTCCAAGGTTTTACCTCACTCGAGGGGATTGAATCAGAAGTTGGAAAGTACTACACCCAGTTTCCCAACTAAGGCTCAGACAGCTTGTGTCGGCCAATGGTCTCATTCGTCTGGAGCTCCTGAGACTGCCTTATGGGAGAGCAAACACCAGGCTGAACAGCACTTCTTGCTGAACTCACTCTAAAGAGATCTAGCACCCCTTTGAGAAGAAGAAGAAGAAAATGGTGCTTGGAGAAATATGGCCCTCCTTCTCTCCATGCCAACTGACCCAAGTTCCTACCCAGGAGCCAGAATACAATATGGACACCAAGTGTGTATTGGAGGTGGGGGAAAGGAAGACATTGCACATTATAGCAGCAGGATAGTCACTCCCCTCCCCCACTCCCAAACCCACAGAGACATAATCTCTGTCTTCTCTCCATCCCTCAATCTCCTGCCAGTCCTGCCCAGCTGCCCTGGAGCTGTGCTAGGGGCAGGAGGTTCCCAGCGCCAGTAATTAGGTTTGTTCTTTTGTTAATCACTAATGAAATCATCCTGTTCCTGGAAAATGATTGCTCCCATCGGCCCCTCTGCTTCTGGTCTAGCATGCATGCACAGATCCAATCAGGCTCATGATGGCAACATCCTTTCCCCACCCCCACCAAAAGCAAGGGCAGAAGGGACCCCAGAGGTGGAACCAGTCCAGGCATCCAGCTCTAACGGGGATTAAAGACATCCCAAAAGATCGGATTCCTGGTCAGTGTCCTGGCTCTTATGCTGTGGTGATTCTTCCCAAGAAACTAGAGCGGGTAAAGCAGGAGAGACGCCACAGGAGGCAAAGCAAAGAGAACACAGAACGCACCTGCTAAGCACACTCTGTGGTGGGGCTGGGGCTGGACACTCACAACGGGCATGTTTTCTCTTTGCCCCTCTAACAGGCTTGGGATAGGGGGCGCTTTCTCCCTTACTCCTCCAAACCTGAGGTGGCCAGCTCCGGCTGTCTCCACGTGTACCCATTGGGAGGTGGTAGCCCCACTGGCTCCTCTTCAGGGGTCTTGTGAACAACAGTCCCCGACTTCTCTTCTTCCATACTCTCCACTCCCGCCTGACCACTGGTGTTACGTCGAGACTTCAGGAAAGCAATCAAGCCAGGATCTGGGAGGCACAGGGAAGGGCAGGCAAGGAGAGTGGAGAGACCACACATCTCTGGCTGACTTCTCTTAGATAACGTGGTCTCTTGTGTTTCTACCCATGAGTGCTGAGAATAAAATAATTCTCCACCCAGCAGCAGCCCCAGCCTTCTTATATTATGTGGGCTCCCTGTTCTTTCCCCATTCAGCTACCAATCCTGGACAAGGACAAGGGCTTTATGGAAGAAGTCATCATTAGCAGGATGAATGTCCCTCTCACTTCCTCCCAACTAATCAGTGTGACCAGTCTTTCAATACTACGAAAGCTGAGTTTCCAGGAGAGCTCCAGCCTAGAGGGCCCTGATCCCCATACCTAGCTGGGCCCACAGCCTCTGCTGCTCCTGAAGGATCTCCTCCGGGCCCAAGGCATGCAGCTTTGCCAAGTTCTCCTCATGGATGGTCTGGATCTCACGCCTGGCATCCTGACTCTGGAGGCCCTCTCCAGTGATGAGCTGGGGCCCCTGGGAACTCTTGCCAGCCTCTGGAACACACAAGCCCTCCACCCTAAGTCCTAGTGCCTCAGATGTCAGGGATCCTAAAAAATGTTGATGGTTCGATTCAATTCGATAAGCAGTTATTAAGCACCTACTGTGTTCCAGACACTGTACTAGGCAATGGGGCTTCAAGGACAAAAATAAGAACAACTCCTACCTTCAAAAAACCTTACATTCTACTAGGAGGAAACAACATGTAAACTAATAAGTAAATATAAAATAAATACAAATTAATCTGGGTGGAGGGACAGAGAAGAAATGATAACCAAAATGTCCTCTGCAAGAGACGGCATCTGACCTGAGTCTAGAAAGGGCGTCAGGGGCTCTGAGAGGCCTCAGAGAGGAGGGGCAGCATTATCACACTGCCCTTAGACCCACCCCCTTCTGTGAAACTGTCAGGTCCTCACATTCACTCAGCAGTTACTTATCTCCCTCTCACCCCTGACATGTCTCATTAGACACAGGGCTTCCTACAGGCTGGGACCACAGAATGGCTGCTTTTTAGGGGGCGGAGCCAAGATGGCAGAGTGAAAGCAGTGACTTGCTTGAGCTCTCCTCCAAACCCCTCCAAATACTCATAAAAAATGGCTCTAAACAAATTCTGAAGCAGCAGAACCCACAAAAAGACAGAGTGAGACAAATTTCCAGCCCAAGACAACCTGGATGGTTGATCAGAAAGGTGTATTGCACCGGGCTGGGAGCTCAGTGTAGTGCAGCATGGGTGCAGGCCACAACGTGGGCACAGCCGCAGCAAACCTAGAGCAGGCCTCAGAGGACTAAATCTCGGGCAGCTGTGGCAGTTTCCAGACTCCTCAATCCACCAATGCCAAAGACAACTTAGAAGGTCAGTGGGAAAAGTCTGTTTCTGTCGGTGCTGAGACAGGAAGGTGGGATTTCAGATCCATTCCCCAAAAGTGTGGCCCGGGGGGGGGGGGGCACAGCTGCTCCTGGGCTTCCAGCCCACAGACTGAGGGGGAATCCAGTGGCTGATCAGAGAGGGACTGCAGGGATCTCTTTGCTAGTGCTGAGGCAGGAATCTCTTGCTTTGCCTGTGGTTGGATCTGGGTCACAGTTCTGGGCAGTGGTGCTGGGGTGAGGAGGAGCACTGGCGTGGTGGAGCTTGTAGTGGTTGTGGAGAGGAACCCCTCCTCACACTTACAGGACAGAAAAGAGTACTTGTGGTCACAGGCCAGGAAAGGAGTAAACACCTCGCCCCTCATCATACCACCTTGGAAGAACTGAAAATTTACAGGTCCCTATAAGTATCTCTGAAAACAGCTATACAAACCCCTGAAGCTTGGGACAATACATTCTCCACATTGGAAGCAGACTCTTACCTTAACAAAGAGTTTAAAACTCAAGTAATTGGCTGGGATCATGAGCAAGCAGCACAAAAAGAGTCAGACTATAATCTTACTTTGGTGAAAAAGAAGATCAAAATATACAACCAGAAGAAGACAACAAAGTCAAAGCTCCTACATCCAAAGCCTCCAAGAAAAATATGAATCAGTCCCAGGCCTTGGAAGAGCTCAAAAGGGATTTTGAGAAGCAAGTAAGGAAGTAGAGGAAAAACTGAGAGTGATGCAAGAAAATCATGAAAAACAAGTCAACAGCTTGCTAAAGGAGACCCAAAAAAATACTGAAGAAAATAACACCTTAAAAAATAGCCTAACCCAAATGGCAAAAGAGGTCCAAAAAGCCAATGAGGAGAAAATGCCCTAAAAAGAAAAATTGGCCAAATGGAAAAGGAAGTCCAAAAGATTACTGAAGAAAATACTTCCTTAAAAATTAGAATAGAGCAATTGGAAGCTAGTGACTTTATGAGAAATCAACACAGTAGAACAAATCCAAAAGAATGAAAAATTAGAAAACAATGTGAAATATCTCATTGGAAAAACAACTGACCTGGAAAATAGATCCAGGAGAGAGAATTTAAAAATTATTGGACTATCTGAAAGCCATGATCAAAAAAAAGCCTAGACATCATCTTTCAAGAAATTATCAAGGAAAACTGCCCTGATATAGTAGAACCAGAGGGCAAAATAGAAATTGAAAGAATCCACAGATCTCCTCCTGAAAGAGATCCCCAAAGGAAAACTCCTAGGAATATTGCCAAATTCCAGAGTTCCCAGGTCAAGGAGAAAATATTACAAGCTGCCAGAAGGAAACAATTCAAGTACTGTGGAAACACAATCAGGATAACACAAGATTTAGCAGCTTCTACATTAAAGGACCACAGGGCATGGAATATAATATTCCGGAGGGCAAAGGAGATAGGATTACAACCAAGAATCACCTACCCAGCAAAACTGAGTATAATCCTTCAGGGGAAAAAATGGTCATTCAGTGAAATAGAGGACTTTCAAGCATTCTGATGAAAAGACCAGAGCTGAATAGAAAATTTGACTTTCAAATACAGGACTCAAGTGGAACATGAAGAGGTAAACAGGAAAGAGAAATCATAAGAGACTTATTAAGATTGAACTGTTTACATTCCTGCATGGAAAGATGATATTTATAACTCATGAGACCTTTGTCAGTATTAGGGTAGTTGGAAGGAAAAAAATTATATGTATGTATATGTAGATAGATAGATAGAGGGCACAGGGTGAGTTGAAGATTAAGGGGTCATATCTGGAGAATAAAATTAAGGGATGAGAGAGGATTATACTCGGAGAAGAAGAAAGGGAGAGGTAGAATGGGGTAAATTATCTCACAAAAAAAAACCAGAAAAGTCTCTATAGTGGAAGGGAAAGGGGAAGGTGAGAGAATGAGTGAATCTTATTCTCATAAGGATTTGGCTTAAGGAGGGAATAACATACACATTCAATTGGGTATGGAAATCTGTCTTACCCTACAGGAAAATAGGGGGAGAAGGGGACAAGAGAGCAGGGGATGATAGAGAGGAGGGCAGATTGGGAAAGGGGTAATCAGAAGTAAATACTTCTGAGGAGGGACAGGGTCAAAAGAAAGAATAGAATAAATGGGAGGCAGGATAGGATTAAGGGAAATAGAGTTAGTTTTTCACAACATGTCTACTATGGAGTGTTTTGCATAACTGCACATGTACAACCTATATTGAGTTGCTTGCCTTTTCAATGAGGGTGGGTGGGGAGGGAGGAAGAGAGAAAATTTGAAACCTAAAGTTTTAAAAACATATGTTTAAAAAAAATGTTTTCACATGCTACTGGGAAATAAGAAATACAGGAAATGGGGTACAAAAGTCTATCCTGCCCTACAGGAAAACAGAAGGGGAAGGGAATAAGAGAAGTGGAGAGACATAGAAGAGAGGACAGACTAGGGGAACAGATATTCAGAATGCATGCCATCTTGGGGTGGAAGGAGGGGGGAGATGGGGTATAAATTTGGAATTCAAAAACTTGTGGGAGTGTATGTTGAAAGCTAAAAAGAAATAAATTTATATTAAAAAAAAAAAGAATGGCTGCTTTTTATACAGTGCATGAAAAGGTGCTTCGAAAGCATCTCCTAGACACTCTCTCAACGGATAACCCAGTGAGGTAAGTACTTCAGACAGCATTAGGCCCAACTCACAGATGAGGAACCAAGAACTTTAGTGATAGCTGGGGTCACAGAGGTGTCAGTGCCATAGGCAAGATTTCAACCCTGGTCTCTGCCACCTCAAAGTCCAGTACACATTTCTTTCTTTAAAAAAATATTAATTGATGCCTTTTGACTTAACATCCTGTTTATTTTTTAATCTTCAAGGGGTACAAGCTGCAGCAAGCCTTGCCTTGTGGCAAAGATTTAAAAAGAAAAAAACAGTTCAGGAAATACAACAACAATGCCAACTGTGTCTGACTGTAATGTACTGTTCCATGCCCATCTTCTGAGCCACTCTGCGTCAGCATCACCCACAGCACTCAGTTTCATCTTACTGTGTTTACACTGGCACAGTCGGCTTACTTCACTTTCCATCAGCTCATTGTGTCTTTCCATGTCCAGCTCCCCCTTCACCCTGCCACACTGGCTGGCTCTCAGCTCATCCTGTTTCTGGATGTTTGTCCCCCACACCTTTCGGGCTGAAATCTGACCCCAGATTGCTGCCAGCAGTTTGGGGGATGAAGGAAGAAATCCTTCTCTCACATCGCTGTCACTACAATTTTGGAAAGAGGTTCACTTATTCCCTTAGTCTTCTCCAATAGCCAGATGATTTCTCGCCTCTTCTTTTTTTAGGACCCAATACTGAACCCACACCCAGAGCTATTACCTCCCTTGTGCATACGTGTTTAAGCAGGGACAGGGAGACAATTCCTTACTGAGATCCAACCCCTGTCCCAGGGCTGTTTTTTCTGACCTGGGCAGGGTCACCTTTCCTTAAGTAGCTTGGTAGCCCTCTGTTCCCAGTACACACCATATTTATGTCAACTTGACACAGAAACCTGATCTGCTGTAGCCCTACTAGAGCTCAGAACTCCCAAACTGAAGTGATCCATCCATCTCAGACACCATAGTTGTAAGGATTAAGGCATATGCCACAATGGCTGGTCCCAAAGCACTTTCCAAATGGGAAGGGAAAAGAGTATAGCCACAAATATATCCTGGAAAGTTCTCATTCTAAAGAGCGTTATAGATGGAAACTCACCTTCCTGTTGGCCCTGGGTAGGTACGGACGTCTCCATCGGTGTGCTGTTTGCCTCAGCCTTCCTCCTCGCTGCAATCTCCTGGGCAAAAATGCTTCTCTTTCCAGATGTTGCTGTTTTCCCCTGGGGAGCAGGGAAAAGAAGCTAGGTTAATAGTGGCTACCATGCTTCCACTAAGGTGTCTCTAGGACAAAGTATAAGAAGCTGTACTCAGCCTAGGACGACCACAACTATAGCCCGTGGAGAAGGCAGGGTAGTCTAAAGAAATGTCTTCCTAGCCTAGCTTCCCACAGAAGTTCAACCATCTCCCTCACCTATTCCTACCATCTGCCTGGGATCCCATCTTTGTTTACCTGGGAGCCTTTCTGTGAGCGATGGAAAACAGAGGGGAAAGCCACTCCACTGGGAAGAGGCATGGTCACAGCCATTGCACTGGTATCACGTTCCTGGGGAAGCAAAACAAAATGTACTAAAGAGGTAAAGACTCCACTGGTGATCTCTAATCCCATTGAAAAGCAGGACCACAGATGAGAAGCAAATTCTCACCCTTCACCCTTGCAAATAACCCTGTATTCTGCCTGGCAGGAGAAAAAAATATATACTCCCTTCCTAGCATTGCCCCCAGTCCACATTCTTTTTTCCCAACAAAGGCAGGGGCAAGACGCACAATAATTTTGGTGAAGACAGCGGTGATATGCCGGTCATGCTGATCTAGCCTGTCCTCAGGGTCTTGGTCCTCAGGCACCGTGAAGCGTGGACTGGGCCTGGCCCTCTTTGGAGGAGCAGGGATTAGAGTGGGGGATAAATCTGGAAGCTCTGACAAGACAAAAAACAAACATGAGGATCCCTAGCCATTCCCAAAAAATCAGGGCTGAGAGAAGATTATAATGCAAATTAACAAACTAAGAGTTCAGAGCAAGAAAAGGGACAGTTGTCTACAGTAGTCAGAAGCACTGTGGGACCCAGAAGGAAAGAGGTATAGTAACAAAGAATGTGGTGAGTCTGATGGAAGGGGGTAAGAGGAGAGGAAAGGAGAAAAAGAGACGGGAGAGATGGGGAGAAGAGAAGAGAGTGGAAGAGAAGAGAGGAGAAGAGAAGAGAAGAGAAGAGAAGAGAAGAGAAGAGAAGAGAAGAGAAGAGAAGAGAAGAGAAGAGAAGAGAAGAGAAGAGAAAAGTAAGTATTCAGGAAACAGAGTCCCAAAGGATGAACTCTAACCTCATCCATCCACTCCATCCCTGTGACATGACAACTTACTGTCTAATGTTACCACATCCCGCTGATCCTGCAGAACGGGCGGTTCCTCATCAATACATCTGTCCTTCTTGTTTACCTTCTTTGCTATTCGTACAGCTGGGGTGGCCCCTGAAGAAAGGAACTGATTCTGGAATCGCAGTAAGTCCACCTCGGACTCTCCTGGCTTTGGTCTCGACAGCATTTTGTCACTGCAGAGTCCTCCCCACTGAGATCTGTTCCAGACTATAGGGTTCTCTTATTCCCTTCCAGGGGCCACACAAGAGTCCCTGTGAGGATTTCAACACAATGGATATAATTTAGCCGGCTTCCTCAAGGTCCACTTCACTTGACCCTTGCTTCTCCGCATGCTACTTTGGGCACACTGTCCCAACACGGGTCTATGTCAACTAAATCCTTCTTGTATCACTTTCTTTTCACTCCATTCTACTGTGCTTGTACATTTATGTAGGACTTCTTAGTGTACAAAGTTTTTTCTCCCTAAGAAACTGTGAGACAGCTAACAGATTTCCCAGAGCTTCAAGGTCTTACCCATGGCTGTGAGGCTACTTCTCACTTGAGTTGGGACTTGGACCCTTCTGCTCTTTTATGTTTGTTATGTCATTTTAAGTTATGATACTGTGCCTTTATCATCATTCAACAAGTATTTACTTAACCCCTCATGTCCTCAGAACTGTGCTAACTACTATGAAGATTATAAAAAAACATAAGCCATAGTTTTGGTGCTTGAAAATCTGAAAAGATAAAACTAATATACATAAAATAACTGGAGAACAATTGTATGGTGACGAATAGGAGTATAACAGGTAAAATGACTACATTTTCCAAAACCAAAAAATTGGGACACAGGATCTTCCTCTTGCAAAGCCTCACTAAAAGTACACTTTCTTTTCAGAATTAGGTCTGTCCTGGAAAATCCAGGGCATGTGGCTGCTAAAGATAGAAATTCAAAGAAGGAAGAGATCAGAGCAGGTTCAGAGCAGGTGCTTCTTGGAGGGGACAAGTGAGGCAACGAAGGATCACTGAAGGGAATACTAGGATCTTGTAATTTCTGTGCAGATGATGATAATAATAGCTAACATTTATATAGCACTTACTATGTGCCAGGCACTGTGCTGTGCTTTACAAAAACCTTTTGAAAGATGACTTTCAAAGCTAAACACAGTTGTAATCTCTCTCCTGATTCTCCAACTTCCCATCACTTATTGCTTGTTAGACACCTCCTACTGGATGTCCCATAGACACCTCAAACCAACATGTTCAAAATGGAACTCCCAATTTAGTTATTTTGGTTGAGGGGGCTGCTACCCTTTCAGTCACATGGATTTGCAAACCTCCATGTCACTTCCTCTATATTCCCCTCTAGGTCTGCTCTTTCCTGACTCTCCTGTCTTATCTTGCCATGCCTTCTTAGTCTCCTTTGTTGGCTCTCCATACACATCATGTTCATTAACAGCGAGCATCCCCAATTTGGAATTACGTCCAAAGGGTTATAAAACTGTGCACACCCTCTGACCCAGCAAGACCACTACTAGGGCTGTATCTCAAAGAAATTATAAAAAAGGAAAAAGGACCCACATGTACAAAAATATTTATTGCAGCTCTTTTTGTGGTGGCAAAGAACTTGGAAATCGAGGGGATACCCACCAACTGGGGAATGGCTGAACAAGTTGTGGTATATGAATGTAATGGAATACTATTGTGCTACAAGAAATAATGAGCAGGCAGATTTTAGAAAAACCTGGAAAGACTTATATGAACTGATGCTGAGTGAAGTGAGCAGAACCAGATGAACACTGTACACAGTAATAGCAACACTGTTCTGTTTAAACTATGTCTGACTTAATTTGACTCATTAAACTATGATTGACTTAGTTCTCAGCAATACAATGATCCAAGACAATTCCAAAAGACTCATGATAGAAAATACCATCCACATCCATAGAAGAACTATGGAGTCTGAATGCAGATTGAAGCACACTATTTTCACCTTTTTTTTTTGTTTTTCTTGGTTTTTCCTTTTTGTTCTGATTTTTCTTTCACAACATGCCTAATGTGGAAATATGTTTACATGGTTGTACATGTATAATCTATATCAGATTACTTGCCATCTTGGGGAGAAAGGATGGAAGGAGGAAGGGAGAAAAAATTTGGAACTCAAAATCTTATAAAAAATGAATGCTGAAAACTATCTTTACATGTAATTGGGAAAAAAATAAAATATTATTTACAAAAAAAAATGGTAAGCATCCCCAAAGCTCTTTTTGCCCCATATTTTCTCACTTATATTTTCATGGGTCCAATCTTTATATAGATGACCCCCAGATCTATATATCCAACCCTAGTCTTTCTCCTGAATTATAATCTCATATCACCACCTCCTTTTAGACATCTTGCAATGGATGAAATGGCTGCCCCCTAAACATCTCAAATGCAATATGTTCAAAACTAAATTTATCTTTTCCCCAAACTCTTCTTTCTTCTTACTTATAACTGTCAAGAGTACCACCCATATGACTCATTCATGAGGCAAGCAAAGCTGGAGATGAGACCCTGAGAATGAATTCCAGATCAGACAAGACAGTTGGGCTATCTCGAAGGATTACTGAGGAAACACAGTGTTGGCAGAACCAGTTCCTGGGATAAAAGACGAACCAGATAAAAGCAGGCCATATCATTTTCATGTGGTTCTGTAGGCCCACAGGATTCCTCCTTTGAGGAAGGGACTTTTAAATCTGAACTATTTCTTCCAAAAAGAACACCCAATGGCAGCTCCTAAAGTATATTTCATGACCAAAATTTAACACTGCAATGTAAACAAGTTGGGAAGAAAATGTTTAGATGAGACATTTTGAAAGATAAATGGTCTCCATCGTTGCAGATCTGTACAGGGCTGCACTCAATCCAAGCTTTGTTAAGTGCTCCCAATCCAAAAGACCCATTAGCAAATGACGCAGCAGAGCAAAGGAAGAGCAAAGAAGCCCAGGCCATAGAAACAGCCACGACGCACACACCATGAAAACCATGTAAATTCAATCTCAGCATCAAGCGTGCACCACTTCTCCTGTTCTGTCAAGACCTCTTCCTTTTCTGTTTGCATTTAACGGACAGTCTAGGAAACATTTTACAGAATAAAAACACAGACCACCTTCAGTCCTCTAGTGATTAAACGCACATGAGCAAGTCTATGTCTTGTCTGGATTCACTGCTGCAACATAGGAGAGGCTAGAAGTATCATCTGGATTGTTGTGAAATTATTTTAAAACAGTGACACAGCTCTGCCTTTATTCATTTCTCTCACCATGATATAAGTACAAGCATTGTGAATGAACGGAGTTGTTAGTTAACTTCTGTGTGTCATTTTTTTCTTCCAGTTTTGTGGGTTCCTTTTCCCTTTTTACGGTGACGCTAACTGCACTGGTTAAAGCAACTAACCAGTTGTACTTCAGAATCTGCCCTCTAGCCAAGTCTAACTTCTTAGACACTACAGATGGATAAGTTTGGTGGTTTGAACAAAAAAAGGGAACATTAAACATCACAGCCCTTACTAATATCCTGATTCTGCTATCAAGTGTAGAAACCTCCCTTCAGGAAAAATTTGTGACCATTTTGTATAGCTTGTCTGGAAACTTCTGTAAATCTTGTATTTTAGTAAAATGTTTTTTGTTACTTAAAAAAAAAGTTACTCCTAGTTACTCAGGCTTTCAAACTGAGTGTCATCTTCACCTCCTTACTCCACAATTACCCCACACATCTACTGCCCGATCTTGTCATTCCTCCCTTCACAACATGTCACAGAGACATAACATTTCCTCTACTCACACAGCTACCACTCTAGTTCAGGCCATAATTGTCTTGTACCTGAACCAGCCTTCTGGGGGGCCTCTTAGCCTTAAGACTCCGAGTCAATCCATCTTCCACTCAGCTGCCAAGGGCAATTTCCTAAAATGCAGGTGTGACCACATCACCCCCATAATCAATACATTCCAATGGCTCCCTATTACCTCCAGGATCAAACACAGAGTCCTTTGTTTTGCACTGAAAGTTCTTTGTAACTGTTCCTTTCCTAAAACTTTTCCAGCTTTTTTATACATTACTCTCCTCTATGCACTCTACAATCTATGTACACCGACCTGCTTGTTGTTCCTTGCACACACTGGTTTGGTTCTAAAACATCTCAAAATAAAACAAAAAATATCTCACCTATCTTCTATCTGCTCCCACAAGTACTAATCTAATTTAGGCTCTCCTCACCTCTTGCCTGGATTACTATAAAACTCTTTCCCATTACCAATATATCCTTTACACAGTTGTCAAAATATCTTCTTTTAACTTTTTTTTTTTGCTGAGGCAATTGGGGTTAAGTGACTTGCCCAGGGTCACACTGCTAGTAAGTGTCAAGTGTCTGAGGCCATATTTGAACTCAGGTCCTCCTGACTCCAAGGCCAGAGCTCTATCTACTGAGCCACCTCGCTGCCCCCAAAACATTTTCTTAAATAAAGCATAAGCTTGATCATGTCAGTGACCTTCTCAATAATTTTCAGTGGTTCTTATTACTTTTTTTTTTTTGGTGAACGCAATTGGGGTTAAGTGACTTGCCCAGGGTCACACAACTAGCAACTGTCATGTGTCTGAGGCCGGATTTGAACTCAGGTCCTCCTGACTCCAGGGCCAGTGCTCTATCCACTGTGCCCCCTAGCTGCCCCATCTTACCACCTTAGAATAAAATACAAACTCCCTGATTGGTATTTAAAATCTTTCACAACCATGCTTCAGCCAGCTTTTTCAGGCTTATACCACATTACTTCACTTTACATACTCTATGTTTCAATCATACTGGACTTACTTTTACCTGAACTTAGTATCTGGTTCTCCTATTTCAATGCCGTTGATTTGTGTATTATAAGACTTGCCCTGATGGTCTTGAGACCGTGACAGTCTCCCCTTAAGGAAGGCTGTAAGCTTATAGAACACACTCGTGGAAAAATACTGACAATAACATTTTTTTGAAGGTTGGTACAGCTATGTCCTTCAAAAATATTTCATCTACCACCAGCTTGTTTTTCTCCCTGATAATCCCTCAAAATAATATTTTGTCTACTACCAGTTTGTTTTTTTTCCCTAATAAAAAACCTTCCAAAATAATATTTTGCCTTGACCCCAAGAGGGCCACCCAAAATCAGAGTATAAGAACTTCACTCCTGCTGGAGTCCCCTCCAGCAGGAACATACCTTCCTGCTGAGCATCCCCCTCCTGCTCAATAGACCCATGTCTATATGCTTCCTAATGGAAAGCTGCTCTTAACATGAGTTATGCTCTATGTTAATGTGTATATGTGTTATGTGTGGGTATCCTTTTCCTCTCTTCCCTCTCCTCTCTTCCCCACTGCTTGCAATAAAGCTTTGCATTGGACTGACTCCCACCATTTTCATATGCTATTCTCAGCACACAAACTCATTAAAGGGTTGTTTCCCCCCATGTCTCTGCCTGGCCCATGCACCTTTCCTTAAGGCATAAACTGGGTATCCAGACAAGGACTTAACCTACTAACAGTAGCACCTACACTGGGAGAGGAGGGGCACAGAGAACTCAATTACAGAAAGCAAGGGTCAACAGGGGAGTCCTACATCTTCCCAGAAGAGACTCCCTTATGCCAGAGGACTGTTACAAAACAAGGTGCCTTCCACATTTCTACCTCTCTAGTTTCATTTAAGGCTCACGTCAGGGGCTACCGCCTACCCCCAGCTATTAATGCCTTTTCTTCCCTCAAATTATCATCTATGTATTTATACATGTTGTATTCTGCTGCAGACTGTTTTTCTTCTTGACTTTGCACCCCCAGCTACTAACCCAGCACTTTGCACATAGTTGGCACTTAATACACCTTGGACTGGACAGGATACAGAATGAATAAAGGTATACAAACAGGACTCAGCATGGTTAATTTATAAGCAATAGTGAGGAGACTTGACTTACTAGAGCAGATGTATAATTGGGAAGGATTTAGGAAGACCGTTGGATAAGCAGGATGGAGGGTACAGGAAATTTAGAAAGGCAGGCAGAGGAGACTAAAGCTCTTTTTCACAATGCCTAATTCTTGTTAATTCTGTTCTCCATAAAACCGAAACCAGAACTAGAAACAATTTTAAAAAATTTTTAAAGGGGAGAAAAATACCAAAACAAGTTCAGGGGGTGGGAGAAAAAAAAACGTTTTACGATCAAAGAGGATGGAAGATTATTAGCAGTATTACCTCATAAAGCAAAGAAAACAGTGGAGATTAAAATCATTTTAAAGAAAGCTTTGTAAGAGACGAAACCAAGCCGTTACTCAGGGGAATTTAAGGACAAAAATGAAGGAGAACAACACAAAATAAAAATGGAAAAGAACTGCAAAGATTTTTATAACAAACTTTTCTGTTTGTTATTAAAGGATATTACGGGCCAGTATAGCTACCACAGTCAGACTCTAACATCACAGTCTCAGATTAGTTTAGAGAGGAGGTAGAAATAACACTGAAGGGGAACAAAGCTGAAAAAACCAGCCAAAATCTGACCAAGTGCTCATAAAGGAGAGCTGTGCTGAAGGTGACACCATTGTGAGGGCACTGATAAAATCACAAGGTGTCTGAAGGAGAAGATACCAATGGTGTAGTAAAAAATCTTGTTAATAAGGGGAAAAAAAGATAAGAGAGAGAACATTGACAGCCATGAACCTATCTGTCCTACTTTCCCTTCTATATAAAATTTTTATGAGAATCATCTTCACACACATTGAAGACGTGTTCAATGAGGATATTAACCAGGAAACAGGCTTTCACAAGTGACGGACCACATCTTTACCAATACACAACTGCCCAAAAGATCCAGGGAACATAAGATCCCACTGCTCTTAATCCTTATTATTTAAAAATCATTTGACTCAGTAGAGCAAAGTGCTACCCTTTACTATCATCCCCCAAAATTGTTTTGGTATTTTTATCCCTTTTAAAAAGTTTTTAGGTTGTTTCCATTTCTGGCTTTGGTTTTATGGAGAACAGAATTAATAAGGATAGGGTATTTTGGAAAAAGAGTTCTATTCTCCTTTGACTGGTCTTCAAAATGGATGGGTTCTCTTCCCACCCACACAATAAAATCATTTAAGATTTCTTGAAAGATATAACAATAGAGACAACCATGTTCAATAACTCTCTAATCATTAGTATATTAATAACAGGGAGATTATGAAAGCCAAAGGTATGATGAAGGTCTAGCACAGAACCCATGGTGAAGAACAGTGAGGTTTTCTCCAGCAGGGGTTGTTAACTTAGGGGTCTGTGAGAGATACACACACATACACACACAAACACAATATATACATATATATGTGCATGTATACACACACACTGTATTTCAGTATAATTGGTTTCTTTTGTCATCCTATGTATTTAATTTTATGTACTTAAAAACATTTTCCTGAGAAGGGGTCCATAGGCTTCACCAGACTTCAAAAGGTGTCCATGAAACAAAAAAAATTTAAGAAACCTGTGTTCTAGAGGTTCCTGTTTTTATGCTGGTTGTATCAAGCTCCAGAACAATGCAGAGCCCCCTGCAAGAGAGACACTAAAAAATGCCTGGTCTGACCATCTAGAAAGGACTTCAAAACCAGAATTCTTTCCACTACAACAACATGCTTCTAGGAGAAAAATGGGGGTAGGGGGTGGAGGAAGGTTGGGAGGGCAGGTAATTAGCAACAAATTTCACAAGGCCTTAAATGCCAGAAAAAAAGTTTGACTGCTCTGATCTATCCACTTGGTCCAAAATGTATAGAGTTTGGGATTCTAAATTCTTATTTGGTAAGGACCATATCTTTCCAGGGCTTGTATTTTGTAAAGCAGCTTGCTCACTGTAAGCATTAAATGAATATTTATAGATCAACTGAACAAAACACCCACAGGTAGGTAGGCTGCTTACTTCAGAAAAGGCAGGCATCCCAAGCTGGTCCTACATAAGTGGGGAAAAAAGGCACTGTTTGCTATTATATAACTGCATGGTACCGTGAAAAGAACACCCACTTTCCAGTCATCTTCCTCCTATGCCTCCTTGCCTCTGACCTGGCTCTCCAAGTTGCACCCTGGTGCTCCTTCAATCTTGATTGGTTGAAGTTCTCCATAACTACACAAACCCATAGTGCTGCTGCTCACTGGACATCTTCACAGAATGCTGCTCAGTGGATACCTTTTCTCCCTCTCCGCTTCCCCTTACAATGAACATTCCATATTAATCAATTCTAAGGCTCCTCTCAGTCGCCCTGTGACTCCCCTAACCAAAACAACCATAAAGGCCATAACTCTCAGATTAAAATACGAGCAACTTGAGGGTAGGGTCTTTGTCTTTGTCTTTGTATCCCCAGCAGCTAACGGGCCCACTGGATAGACGCCAGGCCTGGAGTCAGGAAGACATGAGTTCAAATCAAGCGTCAGACACACTTACTAGCTGTGTGACCCTGGGCAAGTCACTTAAACCCTGTTTGCCTCAGTTTCTTTTTCTGTAAGATAAGCTGGAGAAAGAAATGGCAAACCAATATTTTTGCCAAGAAAATGCCAAATGACTTTCACTAAGAGTCAGACATGAATGAACCAACACAGAAACAACAAAACCCCCAGGATTTCGCATAGTGCCTGCCACACAGTAAACACAACCAATTTTTATTGTTGGGACAAAACTACAAACGTAGTATATATTTCAACAACAAAAACCCAAGTGTTGACAAGTCTTTCGTGTATCCTCCCCCATAAAAGTACAACTCTAACTTGGGAAATTTAAATCAGAAGAGATGTTAAATCTTGTTATTTTTTGTTTTGTTTTTAGGCGATTGGGGTTAAGTGACTTGCCCAAGGTCACACAGCCACTGTCAAGTGTTTGGTCTGAGGCCAGATTTGAACTCATGGACTCCTGACTTCAGGCTGGTGCTCTATCCACTGTACCACCTAGCTGCTCTCAAGACACTAAACCTTGAAGCAACCACAGAGATAAAGTATCTTTTCTCTCCCTGACTACGTCCTCACTCCATTCTGCTGAGAAACTGAAGCTCAGAGAAGGGACTAGACTAGACCAAGATCACATGGCTTATAAATGCCAGTGCCAAGACTTGAATCTCACCCCAGTAATCCAATACCCATTACACCACACTGCAATAACATAAGCTATTTTCCTTAATTTTCAAAGGAGCCTAAGTGATCCGAAATTGAGTTCCAACTGCCTTAATAGAGACTGTCCAGACAGCACTCTGCAAATTACAAGCTGCCCACAAATTCTAACTCTAAGGTTTGGCTCATGATAACTCCCAGAATAAAAAGAATTACAATTTACTCCTTGAGGTTGGAGACTTTCACTTTTTTATATTTATCTTCACGTCTAGCCCAACACCGGCACACGGTTGACTCAGAACAGGCAAGTGGAGCAGCAAAATGTTAGGTCTTTAGTCAGAAGACTTTCTTTGACTTCAGACACCAACTAAGCTACATGATCCAGGGCAAGTCACTTAACTCATCTGCCTCAGATTCCTCAGCTGTAAAACGGGGATAAGAGCAGGGCCAAAGGAGGTTAATATCTGTAAAGCACTTAGCACAGTACCTGGCACAAAATGAGACGTTAATAAATGGTTCTTCTTAATCAATGTTTGTTGATTGGGTGTTAAAAATCGTTTCTCTTTGTTTCTTTTTTCAAGTCGTTTTTAGTGAAAGAAAAGCTCCTAGGGTCCAGAAATCGATCGTTCTGTTTTTATATGTACTATCAGTCGTTCCACAAATATTTATGAAGCGTTTCCTATGAGGTAGGCACTATGCCAAGTGCTGGGGAAGCAACAACAAAAAAGAAGATAAAAACACAGTCCCTGCCCTAAAGTAGGGGACACGCATATAGTAAGCGCTCACTAAATGCTTGCTCAATTGAACTGGGGCTTTATCTTGCAAAAGATTAACTCTAGGCGGTGTAGACCAGAAAACTCAAAAGGAAATAATGGGATTAATGCAAATCCCATGGGGCGGAAGAGCCGCAGAACGCCACGAGCCGTAGGGGCGAGCTCCCAGGCTTCTCCTTCCCACCCGGAGTCCCGGAGGTCTCCGCTGGCTCTCCACGCTTCCCGGGCGGGGAAGGCGCTCTCACCCCCCACTCTCCCTTGCGGACCCGCGGGTGTCCCAAAAAGAAGGCGCCAGAATCGGGCAAATGAGCCAGGTAGTGGATGCCCAGCTCTGCACCAGAGCCGGGGACCGAGGCTGAAGTTCCACCCGGGAAACAGACCGCTTGAGATGCCCACCTAACCTGCTTCAGGCCCCGCTGGGTGCCGCCATCTTGCCCCACAGTAGCAATCACTTCCGCTGCCAAGGAAGTACTTCCGCCCCGCAGCCCCGGGCTCCTCCCCTCTCGGAAACAGATCCGCCCGGGAGGCGTGGCGAGGCTAGCGATAACGACATGATGGGCGGGACCGGGAGTTGTGCTCTCCAGCAACGCAGGAGTAGGCGGCCTTCGTGCTGCAGCTCTTCAGTGCCCTTGGAATGAATCTGGAGGGATCAGGAGCCGCCTAGATATAGATGTACATAGAGATAGAGATAGAGATAGAGATAGAGATAGAGATAGAGATAGAGATAGAGATAGAGATAGAGATAGAGATAGAGATAGAGATAGATAGGAATATACACACATATATGTACATATACATGTAAATATATACATAGACATACATATACCTGTGTGTATACATATATAGGTATATGTGTGTGTATGTATACCTATATAGGTACACACACACACACACACACATACATGTCACACATGAGTTTGCACTCAGCTACCTGCATATGCCATGTCCTTCCTTAAACATCCTGGCTTCAGCTTTGTTGACTCCCCCTCCCACAGCCAAACTGGCCTTTTCTCTCTTTTTTAACGCTCACCATCCATTTCTCATCTCCATCCTTTTGCACTGCCCCTACCTCATGCCTGGAACATACTTTCCTTACCTCCACATCAAAGAGTCCCAGGCATCATCTCCTGCTTGAAGCCTTTCCTGCTCCCTCCAACTGCTAGTTAGATGATGCAGTGGATAAAACACTGGACCTGGAGTCAGGAAGACCTGAATTCAAATCTCGCCTTAGACATTTATTAGCTGTGTGACCTGGTTAAGTCACTTAACTTCTGTCTGCCTCAGTTTCCTCAGGTGCAAATAGTAACACTTACCTCCTAGGGGGGTTTTGTGGGTCAAATGAGATATTTGTAAAACACTTAGTGTGGTGCCTGTCAGTTTCCTTATCTGTAAAAGGAGTATAACAGGGCTCTCTATCCATAGGATCTCAGATTTCGGGCTGGATTCTGCCTACAGGCATCTCTCCTTGGATCTTCCTGGGAAATTCTCTATACCCATGAAATTACAGGTCTGGCACCCCAACAGTCTTCTCTACTCCAAATGTGCCAAGTCCTGGAAGTGCAAATACCAAGGTGATATATTCCTGGCTCTTAAAGACAGTATCCCCAAGCTTGATAACACCTTGATGTACATGTGCATTTTCATCAGTACCTATGCATTTCCATGGATGACACCACTGGTTACACTGAATCTCAGATGGATTCAGACATCCACTCGCTTTCCCAAATCTATACCTCTACTGTCATCCCCCCCAATATAAATAACCATGACCATTAACAACTCACCTTATTCACACAGACCCACCTGAGTTTTTGTGAAAAAAGATTTTTGTAGCTGAAAAAGCACTGTATAAATGTGATCTATATAATTCTTTCTGTTATATTATTGAGTATGAGAGGGGATGGGAGAGAGGGAGGTTGGGGAAATAGGGCAGCCCCCATCAGTCAATCTGCATCCTTAGGGTCAAGGTGTGTGGATCCGAGGAAGATGACTGTGGCCAAAGTATTTTAGAAGCACCTTAGGTAAGTTCAAGGTTTTCCTTAGGATCTGGGTGTAGTCTGATTCTACCCTCAGTGGGACCCCAAGTCCTATTTTTCCCAGTAATGAAACAGAACCATATCTTAAAAATCCTAAAGGACAAGTCCTTGGGCCATAGAGATGAGGGGCCCAGACAAATGTATATGCATTATACAAAATAACTACATTTTCAGATATAAGTAAATCATTCAGCATCTCCAGTACCCTCTTTCTTTCTCTTTGTAAAGCCACATCTACTCAGGTGCTAGGGGAAAAAATCAACCCATAGCTACAAGATGTCCCCAAAGTCTTAGAATAGTTTTAGGCTTTAATAGGCTTTGAAACTGCATTAAGATTTTGGGAACATTTTGTATTTTGTCTATACCTATACATGTTCAGGTTGTCATATGCTCACATGGACCTAAGACTACTGAGTTCAAATCCAGCATCAGACACTAACTAGCCATGTGACCCTAGGTGAGTCACTTTCCTTCTGTCTGTATCAATTTCCTCATCTGTAAGATAGGGATAATAATAGCACCTGCCTCGGAGGCCAGGGCTGTTGTGAGGATCAAAGAAGAGAACAGGAAACATTTTGGAAAGCTTAAAGTGCTATATAAATGATAGTTATTATTATTTAGCTTTTTGTCTTTGTATTCTCAGAGACTAACACAGTACTTGGCACATATTAGACAATTAATAAACGATTAATTGATTGGAACACATCTGGTCTCAGTCTCTCCAGTCCCCAGGAGTATTTGCATTTTAAGTCTTACTCTTAATTGTAAAATGAAGTCAAGCCAAATCAAGTCTGCAATCATTTTTTTGTTGTTATTTTTCAGTCATTTTTCAATCGTGTCCAACTCTTCGTGACCCTATTTGGGGTTTTCTTGGTAAAGATACTGGGGTGGTTTGCCATTCCTTCTCCGGTTTATTTTACAAATGAGGAACGGAGGCAAACAGGGTTAAGTGACTTGCCCACAGTCACACAGCTAGTAAAGTGTTTGTTAACTGCCTACTATGTGCCAGGCACCGTACTAAGCACTGATGACACAAAGAAAGGCAAAAGACAATCCTTGTTCTCAAGGAGCTCGAGGGAGACAAAGAGTAAATAGCTCTGTATAAAAGGGCTATAGACAGGATAAATTATAGATAATCAACTCACAATTCTATTTTTTTAAGGGCAATTGGGGTTAAGTGACTTGCCCAGGGTCACACAGCTAGTAAGTGTCAAGTGTTTGGTCTGAGGCTGGATTTGAACTCAGGTCCTCCTGCCTCTAAGGCCATTGTTCTATCCACTTCGCCACCTAGCTGCCCCTAATTGTAGATAATCAACAGAAGAAAGGCACTAACATTAAGATCCATTGGGAAAAGCTTCTTGTAGAAGGTGGAATTTTAGCTGGGACTTGAAGAAAGCCAGGGAAGTCAGAAAGTGGAGATGAGGCAGGAGGACATCTAGGCATAAGGGCCACCCTGTGAAAATGCACAGTCAGGAGGTAGGGTGTTGTGAGAGAAAAATAGCAAGAAGGTTAATGTCACTGGATCATAAAGTACACTGAAGGGAGTAAAGTAGAAAAAGACTAGAAAGTTAGAAAGGAGACATTTTATAAAGGGCTTTGAAAGCCTAAAAAGAGATTTTACAATTGGTCCTGGAGCTAATAAGGAGCCACTAGAGTTGAATGAATTAGAGTCAGACTTAAGCTTCAGATGCTGTTTTTGTTGGTCCTTCATTTTTGAAGAGGACCAACGACATCACGATGCTGGGGTCAGCATACAGAAAATAGCGGATGGTTGGTGATGCCTTGGCTTTTGAGTGAGCTGGATTTAAGTGAGGTGGAGCTGCACAAAGTCATCAGCCTCACTCTCTCTTCCAGGGCCCCCAAAGTCCAGGGGCAAGACAAAAATCAAGACAACTAGTGATGGCTGGGTGGCAGTGGATGACCCTGGCATCTTCAATGTCTAACCAAGCTCGAAGCTCACCACAGTGGCTACTTCAGCCTCCTTCATGGCCACCATTGGAATAAATTGTTCTCATCCACCCGTTCTTCTGGGGCATGTCTTCATATGCTTGGGGTAGACATCTCCCTAACTCACTGACAGTTTTAGGGCCTGTCAGTTACCCTCCACCTGGTTAAGCCCATCTGCTGCAGTGGTTTTTACCAGGCTGGCATGCTGCAACTTCTTGGAGCCACAGGTGAGAGTTGGGTGACAGGTAGACACCAAAGGTGGATGAGCAGTCCTGAAAAAAGGTGCTCGGGGAGGACTAGCACCTCTGGTATAAACTTTAGTAAGACCAGTGTGATAGCTGAGGGGAGGATGGATTGTAGAGGGGAGAGACTTGAGGTAGGGAGAACAACCAGCAGGTTATTGCAATAGTCCAGGTGTGAGGTGATGAGGGCCTGAGCCAGAGTGGTGGCAGAGTCTGAGGAGAGAAGAGGGAGCATATGAGGGATGTTGTGAAGGCAGAATCTGCTGGACTTGGCAAGTGATTGGATAGGTGGAATAAGAGAGAGTGAGGAGTCAAGGATGATGCCCAAATTGTACACCGGGGGGATTGGGAGAATGACTCGACAATAATAGGAAAGTTGGGAAACGGAGCAGATTTGGGGGTTTGGTTCTTGGACACGTCAAAGACATCCAGTTCAAGATGTCCAATGGGCACTTTGGATATTTGAGACTGAAGGTCAGAAGAAAGGTTAGGGTTGGATAAGAAGATATGAGAATCATCTTTCAGAGAGACGATCATCGGATCGACAGGAACAGATAAGTTCACCAACCAAAATAGTATAGATGGAGAGGAGAACGAAAAATTTGGTCTCTTGTTTTGCCATTTCATCAATGAGCAGGTGAAAGTTGCAGATTCTAAAATCACAGAATGGGTGGCTGCTGACTTTGGCTAGCCTTGCCGTGAGCATAGGTTTCATTGTTGTTCGATCATTTTTCAGTTGTGTTCTACTCTTTGTGACTACATTTCCTTAGCAAAGATACTGGAATGGTTTGCCATTTCCTTCATCAACTCATTTTCCAGATGAGAAAACTGAGGCAAACAGGATTAAGTGACTTGCCCAGGGTCACACAACTAGTAGGTGTGACCTACTAGATTTGACCTACTAGACCTAGTAGATTTGAATTTAGGAAGATGAATCTTCCTGACTCCAGGCCTGGCACTCTATCCACTGAGCCTCCTATCTGCCTCATGAACAAAAGTGCCTTGCATTATGAGGACCTGTCCTCCCTAATAGAGAAGTCCTTAATTCTCACTCCTTAGTGAGATAGGGCAAGATAAATGTGGACTGAGGCAAACCCAAACCCTAATGGAGAATACACTCTGTCTTAGCCTCTCAGGGTACCAGGATAGGGTGTGGTTCCCCATTGACCTGGCAACTGAAGGGTAGACATTAACACTGAG